GGGTCTCTAGAGCAGGAGCTGGCAAACTTTTTCTTTGAAGGGCTAGAGAGTAACTGTGACTTTGCATCCGGTTTTACTGAGCACTGAAACAGCCTTAGGTGATGCTCCAATAAAACTTTATTTACAGACACAGGCAAGTGGCTCAGAACTGGCCTGCAGGCAGCAGTGTGCCAACCCCTGCTCTGCTGGGCTGTGGGGAGAACGCAGGGAGCTCATACACCATACCTGGCACGGGGAGTATCATTACTCTCTGGCCTGTGAGTGTTAATGACCTGACTCAGCTCCCAACACCCTTCCCCTTATCCCTCCCTTCCAACCACATTGGCCTTTCCTCCCAGTGTCGCTGGCTCACTCCAAATTCATCCTCAAGACCAGGCTGTGCCTAGGTCTTCCTACCAAGAACACTCTCCCCCAGACTGTGCTCTTGACTTCCTTCACGTCCCAAATGCTACCTCCTCCGAGAAGCCCTTCCTCCCTCCCCAAATCATCTCTCACTCGGTGCTACTTTCCTGTCTTAGTGTGACTTCCCATATTTGTCTCCTCCCCAGGAAGTAGGTTCCTGGTGGGCAGGAACTAGTCCCTTAGCCTCTCTGGGCTTTGGTTTCCTCATCTTTAAAGTGAATGTTATCAGGGGCACCCTGGTTAAGCTTCCAACTCTTAAGTTTCAGCTCAAGTCAGGATCTCATAGTTCTGAGCTCGAGTCCCAAGTGGGGCTCTGCACTGACATCTCGGAGCCTGCTTGGGAGTCTCTCTCCCCCTTCCCCATGCGCGCGCTCTCTCTCTCTCTCTCTCAAAATAAATAAGCAGGAAAAAAAAATAGAGTGTTATCAGAGTCCCTGTATCTCAGAGCTTTGTTATGGTGATTAAATGAATTAATCAATAGAAGGCACTTAGAACAGCTCACAAGATGCTCAATAAATAAATCTAACTAGTTCACGGGGAGTCCTTGGAACATAAGTGCTCAGTAGGCGTTTGTGAGAGGAAATGAATGGAGACCAGAGGGGACAGATGGAACGGGAATCCAGGAACGTCAAGAACGTCGGGAGGGAGACCCCACTCTGGGACCCAACCACACACACACACAGAGACCCCAGTTGTCTCTCCACCTTTAATCGACCCCAGAGGGCTCTGGGGCGCGGTGTCCTTAAATACAGCCCGGCGCAGCGGGCGGGGGCGGGGCCGGGCCTGCCGGGTGGGCGGGGCCTGCGGGGGGGGGCGGGGCCTCAGCTGC